TATTTGTATACTTCGTATAAAAAAATTTGAGAGAAAACACCTAAAAGGAAAAAATAAATTCATATGAAAAAAATTTACAGAAAAATTACTAATTAGTAATACAATTAAAAAAAAAATTGGTTTGGTCCAATACCCAGATTGATTTTGCCGTACAGTGTTATGAATACAGATTTGAAAGTTTCTGTTCCTGTGCAGCTGTAGGTCGTGTCAGAAGTAATTTTCTGCATAGAACTCGAGCTCGAGCTTACAACTGCGCCAAGATATTAAGGTTTTTCACGGTTAAGTACACGAAAAACGACTTAATGGCCACTTTTGTTTGGTCTATGCGATTTAGTACTATTCTTACCCTAGTTAATGGAAGATTACGTAATGAGTTAGAAGGAATATGCTTGGTTTGAAGATGTTAGATATTCGAGGGCAGGGCAATTAAAGTGACCGTAACTCTTGAAGGAAAAATCTTATAGCACCATTCGAGAGGGCTTTTTGAAGGCTAATAATAGTACTAGAATTTATATACTTGAAATAATTCCAACAGATTTTTATTATTCAATCAGAAAATCTTCTTTTTTCAGCTCTTTCTTTCGCTTCTTTTGGCCTCGTTCCTTTTTGAAATAATATAATTCTCGTGTTTATTTTTTATTTTTGTACGTAATTTTTATTTTCTGAGCCTATTTCAGTTAGAAAGAATATAAATTTTAACTATGGGTCAATAGTACGTTGAATAGCTTACAACATGGCTTTCAAAATGAGCCTGAAAATTCAATTAGTAAAAAAGACTCTTGCGTTACAAATAGTTTTCCACCGTAAACACATGCATAATAAAAAATATTGCCAACTTTATTTTATTTTAGAAAGTTAATCGCTGATAATTTTATCGAATACTTCAAAGTTATACAAGGCAAGTGAAGAGAAGCAAGTATAATGCAAGAAATGGTGGTCCTTAAATATAGACAAACCTTAACTTCATGTAGTCCTTTTTCAATTTTCATTAATTTACATTTTAATGTGCGGCCGCTGTGGTGTAGTGGTAAGCAGTGCGCGCTTCCACTCCGCTGGTTCAAGCCCTGATCAAAGCAACATCGCAAAAAAAATACCGAGAAAATGTTTTTTTCTTAACAGCGGTCGCCCCTTGGCAGGCAAGGACAAACTCCGAGTGTATTTCTGTCATGAAAAACAGCTTCTCATAAAAGTACAATCGCCGTTCGGAGTTGACGTAAGACTGTAGGTCCCTCCCCTTTGTGTGAAAACATCAAGGCTCGGCCAAACACTAACATATCGAGCCCTAACCGCCAAAATAACGTAAGCGACATTTTTTTCAAATTTATTTTTTTTGTGATGCAGAAATATTTCTAGAGCATCTAGATGCATTTCTGCATCAAAAAGAAAATTTTGAAACTAATGTCGCTAAGTTATGTGTAAGCGCTAATCTTTGTGATATAGAAAAATATTAATTTTTAAGAATTATATGCCATTTCTACGAAAAGTTGTTTTTTCCCCATATAAAATACATGGAAAACTTTCGGGTTGAGAGCATAAAAAGTCCGACTTTACTTGCGTGCATTTCACATGCATTTTTGGACCACCCTAGTGTGCATAGCTCATTGGTTAGCGCTTCTTACTTTGCACCAGTGATCGGACTTCTACCACATTGTGGTAGATCTGCCAATTTTTTGAGCATCTACCACATCTGCCACACAAGGTCTGAAATCTACCACATATTCGCATTTTTGAGTAGATTTATTTTTGCTCGACATAATTTTCTTAATTTTAAGAGCAAAAATTGTCCAACACTAAACACCAACAACAGGCAGAATGGGAGGATAAAATAAACCGTAAAATAGTAAATTTTCTCAATATTAAATTTTTCGACAGGTTTTGTGTTAAATTGCAAAATATATGATTTATAAAAAAGAATTAATAGCAAAAATGTTAAAAAATGGCGATTTTTGTGAAAGTATTAGCAAATTTCAGTGCATCTAAAGTTTCTAAAGCGTTGTTTACTTTTGCTTAAGAATTGTCGAAATCGGCAAATCCCAATTATCGGTTTCTGTTCCGTGCCACATTTGCTCGCTACATCGTGATGTGATAAAAAAAAAAGCTGACAGCACTCCGCAAGGTTGCAGAAATCTTTCAAAATATGTTCGAAAAATATCTTGATATGGAAGGGACTACTTTACATTGTCAAGGAAAAAAATTGCCATAACTCAACGCAATTTTCAGCAACTTCCATCTTGCACTTTATTATACTAAAATTAATTTTTTTAGGTTCTAATTAAAAGGATTGCAATTTAGGTGAAAACTTGCAGAATTTTTTAAATTTTTGTACAAAGCTTGATCCAAAACCTGAGATCTACCACATTTTTTTGAAATCTACCACATTTTTTTCCAGATTCTACCACACAATTTTTTTTTTTGAAGTCCGATCACTGCTTTGCACATCGATGATACGGGTTCGATCTCTGCTGAAGTCTAGAAAAATAAGTCTGATGAGGAGATGTGGTGATCTCTGAAATAGCTGCTATAACTTCTACTGCTTAGACTTTGTTGTTTTTTCAAATTTTCGTAATAAACAAAATCGTAGTACAAAGTTCAGTAACAAGAGATATTAAATTTACAAATGTATATTGTCTGTAGCCTCAGAATATGTATGACCCAGATATAATCAATGCCCGACCCCCCGCCGCCCTCCCCCCCCTAACTTTCAAATTTTCCTTATATATATAAAATAGTACTCTGAAATGTCTGCTTAATAGGGTCGATCCCCCCCCTAAATTTCATTCTGGCTACGCCGATGTATATGTGTATATTGTCCCGTGATTTTTTAGTCCTGGGCCCGAGTTTTTCTCGACGGCCCTGGGTAGAGGCCGTTACTGTAAACGGTTTTCGTTTCCTAGAGGATCCCTTTAGCTGACTTAATTATGGAAAAGCCCTATCTAAAACCTTTATTTCCAGTTTTGGCCGAACTTTTGAGTTTCGGCCACACTGTGAGACAAGGTAACTAAAATGAATTTTTCTCTGTGCCACCTCATACGTATGACAGATATGTGCCATAAAACTTAACAGTTTGCACCACTGATTTGTAATGTTGCCACACAGGTGAAGGTGTGTTATGTACATAATATCGTCGCTACCATGTCAAACTATCAAATGTGCGGAAATGCCTTTTCAATTACGATACCTTGCTCATGCACTTAGGGGGATACGCAAATTGGAAAATCGTCAAATCTCGAGTCTTCTTAGAAGCAGAGGATGCTGGCTTTAATAAAGTGTCGAATCCCACACTTTTTCTTAATAACAACAACATTTCTTTCTTCTTCTTTCTTTGCTCTCCTAAAAAGAACCCATTTTCACATTCGATAGTTTGACATGGTAGCGACGATATGTATGCCCCATACATTAAAAAAAAATAGAAGGAGTCGACTCAGGTCCTCAATTTTCCATATGCAACATTTATGAACATATCTATTCAAGTAAAAATTAAAAATCTAACCACAAAAACGCTTTAAAAATTCCATAAAAGCGGACCGATGAACATATTAAGATTCCGAAATTTTGCCTATATGTTATGGCGATTTCGTTTCTACAAAAAATTTAGCCTTCTCGGCATAATATTATAACCAGGGAACGGAATTTTAGGACCTAAAAACTATAAAAAAGTCAAAATAAAAAACCGAAATAGGCCAGAAAAGGCCAAATAAAATAACAAAATAAGTTCGAAAAGGCCCTAGAATACGCAAAAAGGGCAAAAGAAGACACTAAAAAAGACAAAACCCGAAAAATATTAAAAAAATACATTTATTTTAAAAATGTTTATTTTACAAGTAAAAAGAGAAAAACTATAGACCAGTTTCATTATATGAAAAACTTGTACTTTGAATCTTTGACTATTTTCTCTTTTCGAGTTTTGAACTCACAAAACGTTAATCTCTACAGTTGTAGTAACATTGAACCACAAGCTGCATTTTGAAGTTTTCTGGCAGCATTTTCATTCCATTTTTGCGAAGAAAAGCCTTGAATATACTAAACGTGCGCTCTACGTGGGTTGATACAAGTGGCGCCCAATTTAGATATGGAACGTTTAAAACTGTCCTATTACCAGGAATAAGGCCCCTTTCCTTGCCTTTTACAATTAAAGGTAGAAAAGGCAAATATCTTAAAAAAGGCAAAAAAAGGCAATATCAAATGAGTATATATATAATCAGGGAAAGCTAAGTCGTGGACATTCTTACTCGAATATAAAAAAAGGCAATTTCCATAAAATCCGTTCCATGACTATAACTAATCATCCAAAATATTGGAGGAATTGGTTTGTTTTAAGTTAAAACTTTTAACACATACCTCCCATGCAAACTTAACCTCAAAAACGCATTAGAAATGTCATAAACTACATCATTAGCATTAGGATAATTAGAGGTTACATTAAAATTCGCCAATATATGGCAATATGTTTTCAAAAATAAAAAAAATAAAAAATAAATTATTTTAACCTTTAATTTTTCAATAGCTATAAGATGGATGTTGAGAGAACAAAGATTTTGTCCATAAAAAGTGTTAAAGACGGCAAATAAAAAGTATAACTTTTGTTAGCTCGACAGCACTAATTTTCTTTTTATTTTGACAAGTAAACGGTATGTTTTCATATGAACCCTCAACAAGAGCAATCAAAGAAAAATGGTTAAATGCTTTTTTACAAGGAACTTACATTTTCCGTAAGCTCAAAATATTTTACAGCTACAATACATACTTAAATATCGGAATATTTATCATTAGTATGTAAATCTGAAATATCATTTCTGAGACTAACACGCGTAAGTAGTGTAAGCTTGAACTTTTCGAAAATCATAAAATTGTGTTATGCATTGGTGAGAAACCTGATCAGTCAAGCAAAGCAACCGGCAAATTGTTTTTTTTTTTCAATGTCGGCAACACTTTGCCACCAAAAGGAATGAATCAAACTCATAAGCCGATGATGCTTACTAAACTGCATTGAACTTGTCACTCTGTGAGAAATAGCGCTGGGGCTATGCAATCGCTAGGCATACCCAATTAGCTGGTCATCCGATCTCTGCTTACGACAATCTCGGCTTTAGAGCGGTTTCGTTACTCTCAAACTGAGAGTGTAAACCGGTTTTACCGATCAAAGTAAGCTTCTGAGATAGTGATTTAAAATTTCAAATGTAAACAAACATTTTCGATATCAAGCCTACAGTTGGCAAGCGGCATTCATAGCAAGTAGAGTTGTAATAGTAGAGGCACTAGCGAAGGATTGGTAATTCCGAAAAAAATCGAGATCTCAAAAATAACCAGAGATAAAATTGTTTAAATAAATTCGTATAAAGTATATGAAGCGCGGGCTAAGAAGCGGGCGTCACTCTTTAATTCATCTTACTTCATACTAATAAAACCAAAAGTAAAATTAAAAAAAAAAAAAATCAACAACAGCCATAAACAAGTGCTGCCCATAGGTCAATAAAAGTGCACTAGGACAATAAAATTAGCTCGAGGAATTTGCAAATAAAGGGCGTAATTGTGCAGTAAAATTGTTTTTCGGCCCTAGGGAATACATGCATGTATGAATGTAATCTTGCATGCATACATATTACAATAATTGAGTGATTAAATTATTTTCTGGAAATACATCATATAATTAACACACAATTAACACAAAGTGGATGATGTGCGGAATCAAGTGGAGTTCATTTGTGCCACTGCTGGCAATCTTATCAAGTTTTAATTCTGAAACGGACGCCGATGTGTTTGACGATGGAAAGTGTAAGTGGAGCACAAAAAAAAAACACCACAACCTAATAGTGTGTATTTATTAAGTGCAATTAAATAATACATCTTTATATGTGTATGCACACAAAGTTACTATAGTACGCCCTCGGTAAAAGCAACACTCGATAAACGCAGTACCTCGGTTAAAGCAATGCCGAAATGTTTACCATTAGTGACTCAGAAATTGCAACTTTTCAAAAAAAATTTGCCTCTTATTTCGTTTCATTTTTGTCTCAGTTTCAGTAGACGACACCTTAACTTTTCAAAAGTTGAGAAAATCTAACGGCGACAAAAGTGTAACCTCAAACAAACGAAGATTTTCCAATTTTTTAAAACAAATTAACGAAATATAAATACATATATACATATGTCGATTTTGTATACATATAAATGATTTTCAAGTGAATCACTATAAACAAATACTTTTTTTTCTTTCCGTGAACAACATCATATTACTTTTAATACTTTCCTTTTCAAATTGACGGTTCATATGCAGATCTCATGAAAAATCAGAAGAAATATTTTTTATTATTTCTATTACTAGGAAAAATACTTTGCGGTTGCTGTAAATTTTCTTGAAGAAATAAATATACTAATTTTTTTTCTTTAAAGCTGCGGACTGTTTTAAGAAATTTTGAGAAGAAAATTTATTTATTTTTCTTTGTTTTTCTTGAAAGCTGCAGACAAGCCTTAAATTCCCATTTCAGACTGAACTTTTTTGAGATTCGGTTATTTCAACAACTTCAGTTAACACAACTACCTGAATTTTTACCGGTTGCTTTTACTGAGGGCCTTCTGTAGTTACATATAATCATATCAGCCCTTTGAAAACACAATATGTACATAAATACACACATACATAGTACATATATACGCACAAAACTATGTCTACTAAATGCACTGTAATTAAGCTTAAGACACCCTATAATAAGCTATGAAACTAAAATTTTCAGAAGAGTGAAATTTTAAGAATTTTTTAAATTTGTTTCAATTCAAATATCGTCTGCGAGCCATTACCGCCAACGACGTGTCCATACTAAAGGAACGCCTTCTATAAGCGATTCTATTTTTTCCGTTTCTACATTTGTTTCTGAGTTCCACACGTTACCACAAAAATCGATTCTAGATTTTTTGCTGTGATGCTTGTCACGCACGCTTATGCAGACTTTTTGATGGTTTTGGTATTAATGTGGCCGACACTGTCATAAAGCGTAGTTACCCAGCAAAAACTGTTCTTTATTTGGCAAGCGTTTACTTTTTGTATTTGTTACAATCCGCCTCAAGACAACATTTTTCACTTTCTCGTTTAGTGGGAAAGCATTTTTACAATTTCTTGCTTACCTCCAATGACATGTAAATGTTAAAGTAATATGTTCTGTAAACTGGAAGGTATGTGGTGAAGTTCGAAAAGTGCTTACCAATCGAGATTCACCACTCATCTTCTAGTTTACAGAACGCATTATTTTAACCTACGCATGCCATTGGAGGTAAGCGATAAGTTCTAAAAATGCTGTGGGTAAACGAGAAAGTGAACATTTTTTCTTGAGGCTTATTGTAATGCGTTACTACATCGATGCAAAAAGTAAGCGCTTACCAAAGAATCACAGTTTTCGCTGAGTAGTCATGGCCGTCGCTACCTAGGGACCTTTGAAGTTTACCTTCCATGTATGTAGGTATACAATACTAAGAAATGGCAGCTGAAAGCAAAATTCATTACCCGGTAGTAAAATGTGTCTTACAATTTCACTTAGCTCTGCCATGTAGTTACAAACTTGCATAATTGAAAGGTAGTTTAGCACACTAAGAAGGGTAAAAAGTTGACTGCGCTCCACATGAGCGAAATTCGACTTAAAGGTAATCATCTACATATATGTATATAATTGCTCAGTCGTACGACTTAGTTATGCCAATCTGTAGCAGCTGCAGGATTAAGCTATATATCAAATTAAAGTAAAGTGCAAGCTGCCTTTGCAGTTGACCGTGTTTGTCACAATTATTAGATATTATTCATAGTTTTGAAATATATTTCACGAAAGCAAAAAATAACTAGTAATTTTTAGCAAAAAAAAAAAACCGACTTAAACTCCCATAAAAAAAAATATATATATATATATCTCATGATCCGCTGATCGGATCTTAACCAGATTAGTATGGGACCACCTCTCAGACACTACCTTTCCGATGCAAAAAGAATTATCGATAGAATTATTTCTATCGTCGTCGCTGGCGGCAGGGGCAAAATACGATCCATTGTGGCCATATGCCAAATATTCTCAAGTTTTTAAATCGAAATTGAAAAATACTGTATTAGTTTTTGTTAAAATTTAAGAATCTTATTGTTTGTAAAAATTTTAATTGCACCTTGTCATAAGCAGCTTAATTCATTGTCGCCGTAGTTGTGTTTTACTGAGCGAAATTTTTGGGCGAAAGTTGCCGCCGTCGTCGCACTACTGTGCGAAAATTCGCCGTTCGTCGGTATTGTGTTTCACCGGTTATAGTGAAAGGCATTTAGTTTCACACATTTAAACTTATCCTTTCTGTAAAAAAAAATTCAACCACTGATTCTAAAAATTGTAAAATATGTA